GAGTTGGTAGTGCAAAAATAATGCTGCACTTGTGATTCAGAGTCTAGTTCAACAGCCTGTTGGGTTGTTTTTATTTTTAATAAAAAACATTGGACCCAAAACTATTTTAACCTTGAACAAACATGCCAAAAACAAGGATACTTTGGCCTCTGCTTTATTCAATGACTATTCTGGTTTTTGTGTGTTTTGTTCTTCTAATTGGACAGTGGGCTAAATTTCAATCTGCCTTCAGATTCAAGCAGCCAGATGTTATCATCCACATCAACCAGTGGCCCAGGAAGTCCCCGCACCACACCACGTTCTTCAGTCTGCAGGATAACGGTTGTTGCACGGGCGTAACTTTCTGAAGGACTGGGGGACTGGGGACACCAACTTTGGCCTGGTGGGGGCATGTCCCCAGCAATTATTTCAATACATAGATTTTGGCCTCAGCAATATGTGAGACAAATTTCTAAATTTGATTTTGCCGCTTTTGAAGGAGGATAATCACTGATGTAGCTAAAAGGGAGACATCCATCAATCAATCCTAATTTTTCTAGATGGATGAATGAGACTGAAAATGTGTCCATATTACGGAGGCATAATATCTTACTGTCGCATCGGAATCTGCTGTTATTCATTCTTTATTTAATACATTCATGTCTTACTACCCATAAATATAAATATCAGTGTATTTTTATTCTTTTGAGTTCTAAACTATAGGAAAGCTTCCAATAAATATATGTTTGAGCTCGTTTTTGGAAAATACAAACCCTATTGAAAGCATTTGTATGGAGTGTGCTGATGAAGGTTCTCAGTCATCCAGGTCATAGTCATTCCGTAAAAATTCAAAAAATATCCACTTGGAAACCAAGTCCAGTGGATATTTTTTGAATTTTTACGGAATTTGTATGGAGTAACTTTGTTGGTACTTCAGCCTTTAAAAAGTTCCCACCAACTGTCATCACAGAGTTACACTCTTGGGTTGTTGATGATCTTTTGGCTGTATTTTCTGACAGCAGCGTCATGAATATGACTTTAAAGATGGACTTTATCACTGAAAAGGCTGTTGATGATGCCAGAGTGTCCAGAGACACACAGAGTGCACACAGCCTTCTGGGAGCCATTTCTTGAACAGTGTGAAGGAGAAACAGAGCGATGGCTTAGGCCTGACTTTTCTGAGGCCTAAGTCTGAGTACCACCAGTAAAGCTATCAATGGCCTTTATTCTAGCATGCGTCAATGGAAATGACCATGTTGATACAGACATCTTGATGTCATCAGTGTGACCTTTCACCTTTTCAGTTAGCAGTTCCATTTCAAAAATGGCCGTATAATTATTGATTAAAAGATTCTGAACCTTTTTTATTTTAGCCTCCAATATCAGCCTCTTTCTATGAAATTATCTAGTTTTAGATAAAGTGTAGTTTATTATATGACCTCTTAAAATGGCTTTAAAAGCTTCCTATTTAACCACGGCAGTTGTTAGGGTCCTATTAGATTTTAAGTAGTAATCAATTTCCTTTCCTACATATTTAACGAAATTATAATCCAATAACATTCTGATTTGAGCTCCATCTGGGTGGGTCCCTAACAAGGGGTCCTATGAAGGTCCGTGATGGGACAACATCACACCGTCGTAGAAGCAGATATCTATTCTAGACGTCAGTATAGCTGAGATGATAAAATAATCAATACCAGAGAAAGTCTTATATTTACCGGAGTAACAGGAAAATCTGTTAGACTTAAAATGTCTCCATACATCAATTAAATTGATTTCTTACATGAACTGGAGAATAATTGCTCTGATTTTATTATGAGTTTGGTCAACGCCTGTAGAGCGGTCATTAACTGGATCTAATGTGCACTTCCAGTCCCCTGCTATTAGATCTGATATCTATACTCTTTCTTCCCTTCCAGGGGCCTATAGAGGACATAAGAGACACCACCGTGAGATCAATAAACTCTCTTCTCTCTATAGGCCCATGGAGGGAAGAAAGGTTCAGATTAGTCGTAAGGAGTGAGCCTCCAATAATTAAATATCTTCTAAGTTTGTCTTCAATTCTGTTGCCCACTTGAAGAGGGACTGAACTGTGAATGAGGTTGAAAGATACGGTGCTGCAGAGTCAGACCTCTGCCATCTGCTTATTTAAACATGGTCTCCTTTAAAAAGACGTGATTCCTGTAAAACTTATAAAAACTATCAAACTTTTTAACCTGAATCTCTTCATTTATTCATGACTTCTTTTATTTTCTGCAAATCTCTACAATTCAAAGATGTAAATATAAGTTTGACATTTTGTGTCATTTAAAAGTAGCAGCAAGCTTGGCTGAAAGTTTACCTGAACAAGGTTAACTGCTGAAAAGCAAAACACACAATGAACTCTTTGAACATCAAACTGAACCAAATGAGAGAACCCAGTTTCCACAATAAGTGCTTCTGCCCTGAAGTACGTCCACTTCCTTCCATCTTTAGGGCAGATCCTGGATCAGTTCGCTCTCGCTTTATGGCACCATTGGAAAAAACAAGACAGAAAGAGCACAGCTAAATCTGAGCTCCTCCTTTTATTTTAATATAGTTTCCAGCCAATGGCGTAATGACACAATAGACCCGTAGGCAACATTATCTGGGTGGGCCCCATATGAAGTAAAACACCCCTCCAACCAGCTACGCGCTGGATTACCCATAATTCCAAGGAGTATTCTAAAAAGAAAATACTCCAATACATTGTCTTTCAAGGTCTTTATTGCAGTTTGAAACATATGAGTGTATTTTTTACCAACAGGCTAATAATCTATACACAGTTATTACCATAGTAATGAAAAGTCCAGCAGTCGGCTTTGCTGTTGGCGTCGTGTTTAACGGCTCACCATCATGGTGAACTCCGCCATGTGTCGCGTTATAAATACGGTCCGGTCAGTCACTCTAGGATCAGGTGGGTTTAAGGTGAGTTTTTAGCACCATTACATCTGCAAAGAGACATCCTAGTCCACAACTGGTGAGGGGGGCCCACCAGGTGTCAGTGACGGGGGGCCCCTAAGAGGTCGGGGGCCCCTAAGCAACTGTAGTCTCTAGTTACGCCAGTTTCCAACCCTTACAGGTTTTATAAGCAAGAAATAGAAAGAGGAAAATAAAATGCAGTTATTTTTGGATAATCTTTCTTCTTTAATCTTGTTCATGAACTTCTTTACATCTGATGAGTTTTAGAAAGTCAAGGTTTCATTCTTGAAGGTTACCAGCGATCTGATGCCATGCCTCAATCCCAGCTCCTTTCTCTGCTGCTTCCTCTTTTTGTTCACCTCTGTAGCCAAATCCTGGTGAAGCCGAACACATATGTTCTAGAACAGGATATCTTTTTTTTCTTTGTAGCCTTGTTGACAGCGGTCTACTGTTAATAGTTCTAGAACTTCCTTATTAATGGCCTCAGTGGGTCTCCTGATCCCCTCTTTGGTCCAATGAGGCGCTGCTGCTCCAGAACAAAGGGAGCCTGAAGGTGCATATCTGTTCTCGGGAAATGCACAGGGGTCTGGATTCTCAGTTATGAGGCGTACATTATTAAAGCAGGATCTGGTTTCCATATTAATAACTTTGCCCTCCAGGCTTCGGTTTCTTTTTACCAACTTCTCCACTAAAATTTTTCAACGGGCAGATTTCCTCCTCAGCCACGAACAGATGTGCCTGATTCTATCCGATTCTATTAGCACACTCGTTTAACCATTTTGTCATTTCTTCCTTTTCTTTAAGTTTGCATGTAAACTCTAAGTTGACAAGCGCAAGTCACTGCATCCATGTCCTCCAGGAGTTTCTGCGAATGTGGCAGTCATTCCGCTATGAGTCTTGTTGCTGACGCTGGTGCTACATTCATCGGTGTGTTCGACGTCTTTGCCAGATCAACCAAACTCAGAAAGTTTCATCTGTGTGGATGTTTTCTCCTTATCCTTCCTGTTCAAACTGAACTGAAAGAACAGTTCAGCAGAATGGAATTGAAAATGTTTCCTGGTAGGAAGTAAAACGTAACTTTTTTTGGAATGACAGCTGCTGTCAGAATGAATAGACTTAAATCTCATTTTAATCACACGAGTCAATAATTATTATGATCATCTCTTACATGTCACAACCGCTTATATGACAAAAACTAATTTTAAAATTACCTTTCAGTTTGATTACAAATATTTATTCAGATTAAAAACTATTTAAACTGAACACAAACTGGATAAAATATATACAAGTTCAAATATTTTGCAGTTAGATAATAATATGATTATGCAGATGAATATCCATCATGTAAGGTTTATTTAACAGATTTGTGTTAAAAGCATTTTAAAAAGTAATGGTAATTTGTTCATGTATTTTTTGCGGTATTTTCTGCACATGGAGGCGACTGAAAACGTAGACTTTTTCCGTCCCGCTGTCCTCTAGCTTTAGCACCAAGTTCATGGAGGAGTGACCCTTCCATCCGTATCCATTTGCACCGGCGCTCCTAGACACTGAAAGTTGCATCTTTAGGATGCCTACTGAAAGTTGGATGCTCTGATATGATGAAATAATAAAATAAAGTTGTTTCTACTTGGCAGCTGCTCCATCATTCATGCTGACTGTGTTTGTGCAGGCGGGGCCGGTAAATGGGAGGGTGGAGGGAAGCAGATGTCCTGAGCTAATAGCTGCAGCCTTAATTGTCCCTTGAGAGTATCGGCCCTAAGAGATGGTTAGGCCCTCTGAATGCATTAGATGCAGATAGGAAAACATGGCACCGGATAAAGACAAGGCTGTCTGGATGCTCTCAGTGAATAAAAGAAAAGAAAAACTTGAAAGACCAATAATTTCTGCAGACATCCAACTGACTGGTGAGTTCATTTCCAAACGTTTTCTAAAGCAGCTTCTCAATCCTGGGCTGTCTGTTCCATGAGCAAAGCAGCTCCATGCTCCAGGAGTTGAACCGTGTTTCAGTCCCTTCATCTGAAAGACGGTGGATCTGTTTCATCCTCCCTCTGCATGATGCTGCATGTTCATCATCAGCAGGGGAAGCTGTGTTTCCAGCAGACCCGTCTGTCTCAGCAGAGCTTCTTTGTTATTCTCAGGGACATTATAAAAACAAATGTTGCTGCTAACGTCTTTTTAAATACTATTTTTTAACAGCTTTTAAATCAGTTCCTTGTTTTTTTCACTTAAATGTTTTATTTATTTGCTTTTGTTGTTTTACATCAATTTTAGACTAAATTGCACTTTTCATCTCTCTGCATGTTTTGCTGTTACTTCATTTGATCTTTTCTGTGATGTTTCTTTTCTAATTCACCTGAATAGAAAGGAAATGATGGACAGACTGACTCTAGTCACACATCTGGGAGTGGCATCACAGCTTTCATCCACAGAACAGATCTGCTGCTGTCTCTGGAACCGCTTGGCTTCAAATTGGTTTGACTGACAAAAATGAAATAAGAAAATCCCCTTAAAAGGGATATCAGAGTGAAAAGAAAAACAACAACAAAAGAAAACCTGGGTAAGCAAACGGTGAGGAGCTACAGAGACAAGAGGAGGCGTGGCATCAGAGGGAGGCAGAGAGACGGAGGAGAGTGGATCCTCCCTGCATCCTGAGATGCTGTGCTGGATGAGGGAGGACGAGATGTCGGTTCAGGAGCTGCTACAACGAGTGCAGTGTGTCATCGCACATGTCGGTGAGTCACAGCTCTCCCTGTTTGTGCATCTCTGCCTTTCAGCTTTATTCATTTGGAAATGGAAGGGCTTTAAAAATAAACAAAAGAAAACATTAAGCTTCAAAAATGTGAAGAGAACCATTGTCTGTTACGTCCTGGAAATACATCCTGCTTGGAGCTTCTGAAGCTGATTAAAGGGATGCATGTCCCTCTCTCCCTGGGAGCTGATGGATGCAGAGGGATGAAGATAAATGGTTTAGTCTGTCAGGTTCTGTTAGGATGTGGCGCATTAATTCTGCTCCAGTAATCATCTCTCTCTGTTTTATACGATTCTCATCTTCTCTAGATTTTTCTTCCATTTATCCTTTATTTCCTCCTTTCCTCCTCAGTCTCTCTCTGCTTCATCATCCGGGTCATTTTCTGGCTGTCAGTGGAGAAGGTTAATGTGCTACACTCCAGGATGCTGGGGGTGGGGCTTCTTTTAGTGTTGCTATGGAAACAGAAATGAGTGTAAAAGTGTGGTTAGCTGATAACTGGATGAAGGCTGTGAGAGTTTGATGTTCTGTTGTGTAGATTTGGACCATTTCTGGGATGTTACGCTTTCCAGAACTTTCCTCATCTTCCCTGCTTCCAGTTTGTTCTGCTTTTTCAGGGTTCGATATTTTCCGTTTCTTTAGAGTATTTTTTTGTTTATTGGTGTCTGCTTGTTTTCACTCATTTTCCATCATAATAAATATTAAATGCATTTGTCTCTTAATCTTTAGTTCCAAGTTTCTTTTTACTTTCACTTCTATGTCTGCATCAGTTCACCAGTCTGGTCCACATTTAGCTTTGTGTGTAACAACAAAACCTGAGGCACAAATACCAGTAATCTGATAAGTAACACCCACTGCAGGTTAGGAGGAGCTCCCTGTCTCTGGGGGGGGTCACACCATTGGCGATTCTAGGATCAGAGATCTAGGTCTCAGCACCCAGAATCTATTGGACCGGCATGAATTGAAACTTGCTGCTCAGCATCAATTATTGAGTCCATTATTCACTAATGCATCAGATCTGGACTTTTGCTAAGTACCGAACAAACCAGCAGAAAGTTAAATTGTTTTTAAAAGAATATTTCAACCATTTAAAGCTTTTAAACCACTTTTCATGAAAGGCTTTTTTTTATGAGTCAAACTGATTGAATTAGAACCAGATCAGTTCTAACTGTTTTTAGATCCTTTGGCCTGGTGGCTGCTCTCTCTGTCTCTCTCTCTCTCGCTCTCTCTCTCTCTCTCTGTCTCTCTCTCTCTGTCTCTCTCTGTCTCTCGCTCTCTCTCTCTCTGTTCTTCCTCTATTGTTCAGTGAAATGAAAACAGCAGTAAAGCTTAGAGACGATTAGGAAAAAGTAATAAAGATATCTGATATGTTGAGTGTGTGGGAGCTGCTGGAAAGCAGTTAAAATGGTAATAAGTACTTTATATAACCTCCATGACAAGTAAAATCATCCACTAAATGGAAGTTTTTATTTTTCTGCCACTGTTCTGATGGTTTTCCTGACCTGGAACGTTGCACACACCTTGCTCCTCCCTCTGCTCCTCCCTCTGCTCCTCCCTCTGCTCCTCCCTCTGCCAATCATAAAATGGATTTAAAGGCACACTATGCAACATTTTCAGTGTTCCATAACGTTATGGATGATTAAATGAGTCATTTCAGGTTGAACAAAGG